TCCTTAACGATTAGAATATTGAATCAAATTAAAAAATAAATGCATGCCATTTAAAACATGTAAACACATCTTTATGACTTCTTTTGTTGTGCCTATGTCTCCTCCCAACTATAAGAACAGCAGCCTGTTGTGTGTAACACTGGTCTCCTGGGTTAGCACGTTCTTTTCAAAGGTGTTAAATACAGACACCGTCACAATCACCGCAATTTTTTGCCAGGTTTGGTAAATCACAATGCGTGTACTAACTTAACTTGTTTGCATTTTCTCCTCCCAGTATTTTGCACGTTCGGGCAGAAACGCCCCATATTGCATATTCATTAAGTCAAACATACTAAATGGTCAATGCGTGTTGTTTTGCTCATTTGAAAGACGCAATCCTCACTGCGTGCCGTTAGTAGATCAGATAGCACACAGTTTTTGCTGGTGGTATCAAGTTTGCACACGTTTTAAGACACGCAAACCTTTAGTAAATCTGGCCCTTAATTGCACAGTGAGCATTGAATTATTTCAGGCCCCTACCCTCCCTAACCCTACAGCTCCTCTGTAGAGAAACACTGCAGGTGATGCCGGGAGGGGGCACTGACTCAAAGCCATCCCTAAAAGACTCAAACTGTCTGGACACTCCTTCATTCAGACTCCAGTACATCACCAACCTGAGGCACAGATCGACCCGGACAGGAAGTCAGACAAGGAAACGCACAGAGCGTCCTGTCAGTTTCAAAATAAAACACAACATACAGACTCTCACGCTGATCACATCACAAGCCCTCATCAGCTGACAGCCAGCAGATTAGCTCACTTATCAATGCCATCAAGCTGTTGTCATTGACGCTTGCTTTGTTTGGGTTTTTGCTGCTTCTCTTCCTGCCTTAGGCTGTGCTGTTCAAAGTCTACTGCTTTCCAAGTAAGCAAGTGGAAGAGCAGGGAGATCCCAGAACAGAGCCACACCGCCTAATATATATACATGCAAGTAAAGTATCTGAATCTTGACAAAGTGGTCCTGACTGATACATGTCGGCAACGATTTGGAACTGAAACATATATAAGATTTTCAAGATGGTTGTTTCGGAGTTGCCTGCATATTTTTTGTGTAAGTTTGAGTTACCGTCTTGTCCCTCTGCTTCATGCTCTTTGTCTTCTGCTCCAGAGACAAGCCCAGCCTCTCTGCCCGCTCTCTCAGCTGCACCTCCAGGCTTTCCAAAGCATCTCCAGCTGCTTTCTTTCCGCCTCTCTCTTTCCTTCTCTTTAACAGAAACAACCTGGAAGGAGAGAACAGGGAGGGGGGGGTCAACATCAGGGAAGCGCACATTCATGGCACTTTATAATAACTTCCTGAATACGTGGTGGCTGTACTCACAGGACAGCAGCAAACACGTTGTCCCCCATCTGTGTGATCGTGTAGCCTTTCTTTGCGTCGTTCTCCCCGACAAACGAGGGCAGGGAGTCCGGAGTGTCTCTGGGAGGTTTGGGGAACACATTTAGTGAAAAATCAGATCTACTCTCTCTCTCTTATTGGAGCTGCACCCTTTTTGAAATAGTAACATCACTGGCCCAGCGATGATCCGACAAAGAGACACCCACAGATTTGTGTTTCTTACCTGTAATAGCCCAGGTGCTGCTGGCTGTCCTCGCCCCCGTGAAGGATGGTCTGAAACTCAGGGGGGTCGTAAAAATACCTCCAGTGAAGGTGGAAGTTGGGCTGAGGGTTCTTTGAGAGTTTGTGAGCGCCGGCCAGAACGTCAAAAGGGCCGACCAGCTGCAAACCAAGTGTGTCTTTCAGTGCGCCTATGGAGATGAAGAGTAGCACAGATTATAGATTAATGCTGGAATCCCCAGACAAACAAACGTACACGAGTACAACTAAATATATACTCTGTGTGTGTGTGTGTGTCTGTGAAAGTCATTTAAAACTTTTTAGATGAATAAACAGGTATTAAATGTGCGTCTAACAGTCTAATCAACGAGCATTTGTGCTCTTAGACCATCTATTCAGACTTCCTATTGGCTAAGTCACAGCTCATCCTGTTTCTCCATCTCACCAGACAGAAAACAGATTCAAAGTCAGATGGACCCTCCTGTCTTATCTGTGACACGATGCACTGTAAGTGAAGGCAGCTCACCACGAGGGCTGTCAGGACAAAGCTCCTTGCAGAAGTCCCAGAAGTGGTACAGATCCTCCGGCGTCTGCAGCTTGTACAGCTGCATGACCTCATCGCGCTGCTCTGAATTCACCTCGGACAACGGCACCTCTTTGGACTCATCCGTGCAGACTTTTTTCACCTCCCCGTTGCCCGTACCCGACTCCTACGGACATTTGTGGCAGGACAAAATATCTGTCAAACACCAAGTCACATATTTTCCAACACAGATTTTACGAACTACTACTGGGCAGGTCGACTTGGGGGACATCTTCTCGGAACTTGGATATTTAATGATGTTGAGCATGAGATGAATCCTGGGTCTAAACATCATCTCACAATTTTACACTGGCAAAAAGATCAAGAAGATAAAGGGACACAGAACATCTTCTAGACGGCTAAGGACCTGCAAATAAACTGGCATGGATGTTCTTCCACCTGCATGGAGAACACCTTTAAAAGATGGACACACCATAGACTAGAGACGTGCACAGAGTAGAAGAGTCAATATATTTAGGATTTAGGATTTAGTGCAGGGTTGACGTAAACTGTTTCTCATGATAACGTTGGAGCTGTGACTTGTTTTCTGCAGAGTCGCAGGTAACTGCTTGGAGCCCCAGACCAGCGGGGAACCACAACATCGGCCCAAAAACGTGCAAATGTTGCAATGACAGTAGGAAACCTCCCTAAGAGCCCCCCCCCCCCAATCAGACAGCACTCACTCTCGTTGCCCTGCTACATGATGCATGCATTACTGCTGTGAAAACCAATGAAAGTCAACCAAGGAAAATGAAGAGGAATGATCTGACTATAGAAGAGAAACAGGAAAATAGAGACAGAGGATGAAGCGCTGGGACACTTGCAGACATAAGGGTGATTAATGCGGGTTGTAGGGCCCCCCCGTCCCCCCCAATATTTCTTGCCTGGGGCCCCAAACAGACTCTAGAATCGCCACTGGGTTTCTGTTATTTTGCACTCGGCAAATGGAAAAAGTTAAAGAGAGCTCGGCTGTTTTTTTTTTGCAAGCCGCTAAGGATAAACAAACCTGCTCAATACATGCTTCCTATTGTTAACCTGTTTGTGCACTGATTTATTGCCTTTGTGGAAACCACGAATCAAAGCAAGACAGCCGACAACCTTCTCCCTGCAGCAGACTAACATTATCTCACACACGCTCATGTGTGTGGACATTAACGCAGCAACGCCAAGTCTGATAAACTCTGAGATATTGTGTTTAAAAACATGACGTGTGGCTTGTTGTGGACGTGTCTGGAGACGCTGCTTTGTGGTTTCATTCAGCAGAGCTGCTGCTGCTGCTGCTGCTGCCATGTTGTCGTCTGACCACCGCAGCTCAGACAGCGTGCCAAACACCTCTGCCCGCGGCGTGTCACGTTAACATGCGAAGCTAAACCTCCGCAGCCACACTCAGCCACGTTTTTTTGGACCGCGTAATGTCGCCTCAAAAGCGGCTTTTCTACAGCCGACCAAGAGGAGGTGGAAACAGTGCGGAATTACCTGACTGGATTTGGGTTTTCTTTTTGCGCGCCCTGTCATTTTCTTCCTCTTGTCTCCCCGACGGCGTCTTCTTCTGCGCAACATGATCAGGGAGGTAACAGCCAGCGCGCAACCCTTAACGCGCATCACTGCCCCCCAGAGGCCGAGGGTGGTCACCTGCAGATTCTCAGACCCAATATGAGTGTATTATATTGACTATCAATTATCAATGATGCAGACTTTTAGGGAGATATCTGACACTTTCTCTGTCGCATTTGATGAGACTTCTAATTTAAATGTGTTGGTATAACTTTAAGAGCGTTATGGTCAGTGGCGGTTCTAGACTCTTTTTACGGAGGGGGGCCAAACTGGGGCCAGTTGTTTTGTCAGAGGGGAACATTAAACCCGGGTCAAAAATAGACAAAGATGATCGCTTAAAAAATATAATATATATCATGCCAAATGATAGCGCACATCATAAAATACCATGATTTATATTTGTTTCAGTAACAGTATTTAATACTAGATTGTGAGTCCGGTTGTTGAGTCAAATTCCAGTGTGTTATTAGGAGGGCTCTTCCTTTTTAGAGGGGTGGCCACAGGGGAGGACCAAGATCAGTCTTAAAGGGGCTTACTGGCCCCTGTTGGCCCCTGGCTAGAACCGCACATGATTATGGTTAATGGACTTGAGCTTGTTTATCTCTTTTTTACTCTTCTGACTACTTGAAGTGTTTTTACACCGCAGGTCACACCTTCACATTCACACTCTGATGGTAGAGGCTGCTGTGTAAAGTGACCATCAGAAGTAACTAATCCATTCATACACATTCATACTCCGCTGATGAAGCAGCTTGGGGTTAAATGTCTTGCCAAAGGATACATCGGACATGTGGCTACCCCCGACCTTCCTGTTGAGAGACGACCGACTCTACCAACCGAGCCACAACCGCCCTGACATTTAATTTGTAGATGTCTTATATTGATCGCCTTCATTTTCCTCATAGGTGCCTTGCTAGTCTCACCTGTGTCTGATTTCCCAGGGCATCTGTGTTTCTTCCCTTCTGTATCAGTTCATACGTCTGATACGTACCCATGTTGATACATTTTATTTCCCAGTGTTCCTAGCGTTTACACGTGTTATTCCTCATCCACAATTTTCCCAGATTAACTCGCTGACCTGGCCACATGGCTCTCAGTGTTATGAGCACAGTATAAAGAAAATCCTCCACAGGGCTTTAACAGTTATCATCAAAGATCAGTGCTCGCCCATGACCAGCCTTCAAAAGTTTTTGGTTTCTACCTTTGACTGCATGGTGTTACATTTATGCGAATAAAAATACAGGAGACAGAAATCAATACCTCTCAAAATAAAAGTTATCTAAGAAACTTTATTTCTTTATCTACTCTGATGACAAACCAGGGCAGACAACAGCCACTCACAAAAAGTTACCTTCTGGTTTGATTGGATGTGGCTACACAAACATGTCTTTATGATTTTGAACATTTACATTCATTACAGAGTTCAGAAAAGTCCAAAACATCATGCAGCATGGCTCACATTACTGTACAAGAATATTGTAAATCATATATAACATGTAGTGTCAGACAAAGCTCTGATGTGTGGGTATCAGGTTTGTATTTAGTGATGAAGTTTCCAAAAGAAGAACAATCTTCTGTCCGGTCTTCTACTCCTCAGTCTGCAACTTCCCCACGTCGTTTCCATGTGTTTCCAGAGGAATGCTACAAAAACTGTTTTCACTTTCTTCTTCCGCTTCTTTAACAAGAAGCAGCCAGTTTTCTCTGTTCTTTTTGCAACCGAGCATTAGTGGGAAGCAGGAGTCAAACAGTGTTGACACAGCCTGAGGGAAAACAGGGACAAAGAGTGTGATGATTTAAAGCAGAATGAAAAACTAGAGCAGATGACAAGTCAGTAGGACCTTAAAAGAAGCCGTGTGCAGGTGTTAGAGGACTAGGAACCTTCCGTTGCCGTGGGCAACGATGAAATATTTGGAGTACTTTAGACAAAAGATAAAAATAATTGCTGTCTGATTGACCAGGCTTCATTAAGACACTGGAGGAAGTAGAAAACTTTAAAGACACAAAAAGGGAAGATGATATAAGATTTCCTATGAACATGAACGTCGCTTTCTGCTGACTGCCATGGCAACCTCAGCTGCACATTGATGACGCTGCGTGGTGACTTGACTTGAAGCCTACTGTTCACAGGTACCTCATCGCACAGTGTGCATGCATGCTGTGCCCATTATATAAGATCTGTGTCACACAGTGTTGTTTGCAACAAACTTATAAGATAACAAAAAACAGAACAGTGTAGGAGGCGTAAATTGTCTTGATATTTAAACTCTACATTTCCACATACATGTAAACCAATTGACTAAATAAAGAGATTAAGTGAGAGATAAATCTCTGTCTTTATTGTCTTACATCTCTGTGTGAGTATACAACAATAATTCACGTCTGGTTCCCCGTCATTCTCCCTGCTGAATACTTTCCCCTGCTCACGTTCTCCTAACTGCTTGCTTGTGTGCCATGCAGGTTATAAGAGGTGCAGGACCTGAGCCAGGCCACTGTTTAAAATAATTACTACAATAGTCCAGGTGGGTAGCGCCCCAGGTGAACTTCTTTCCTCATGCATGTACTATATGGACTACATCCACCTACACAGAAACAACTGCTGAGGTTACACACCTTGTAGAGTGGGTAGCAGATGTCATCAATGTATTCAACCTGCATGTATGGCAGACGAGTACTGTTCTCTCTGTTCATGATGCCCTGGTGGTGAGGAGAGAGAGAGAGAGGGAAAGAGAGAGAGAGAGAGAGAGAGAGAGAGAGAGAGACAGAGAGAGAGAATTGGCTGTAAGAACAGGACTATTTCATGAGAGGTCACATCTATAGAAGGTCCTCTAATGACACAAAGTTTCATTGTAAAGGTTTAAGAGGCAGTAAAAGTCTTTGAAAGACTTTGTGCAATGAGACTAAACATCCTTTAGGATCTGATATAACTACAGGATGATCACCACAGACTAAACACATCAATAAGATGGACAATTCCTTAAAAACAACACAACTTCATAATTGAAATATCTAAAACACTGTATCTGTTTCTCCTCTACTCTTGACAAGGTTAGACAATGTGACTCTTACTTCACTACACAGAAAGACATTGACTTTTTTTTTTGCAAGTTCCCTCTGGCCTGCACTCACACTGCTCCAGGACTAACGGGGCCTGAGCACGGTTACCTCTTGTACATAACGTCATAATGCAACATATGCATGGCTTTAGGTGATCATGACACGTGCTTAGTTTACAAGTCAGGTAGACTCAAAAATAAAATATTAAATAAATAAAAAGGGACGCATGGTCGAGTCTGCAGCTGCACATCGGAGAACCACACAGAGAACATGACAGCTACGTTGCTGAGTTTGTCGCTTATTTTGAGTCCTTTTAGTCATAACACTCCAGGATTTCTTGATAATGGAAGGCGGGGATTGATTACTTCATGATCACGTTGTGTACTCACGCTTGTGCTCGAGCATGAACTGTACCGCCCCGAAGCACACCTCCTCCAACCGGGCCTAGTGTGATAGCGCCCTTAATCTCAATCTGAGCAAACCAACACATAACATGTCAAAGTCATAATCCAGCCAGCAGGACTTACAACAGGCTTGATTTTGAACTCTTCTTTCTCTTTGTCCCCCTGTGCAAAGAACTCCATGGAAACCAGGTTGGCGATCTGTTGAGAGAGAGAGAGAGAGAGAGAGAGAGAGAGAGAGAGAGAGAGAGAGAGAGAGAGAGAGAGAGAGGTCAAGGTTACTGAACTCAGAGTGATTGAGAGATTTTGTGTGACGTGTTCAGATTAATAAAAAGAAAGAAAGTGAGACCTACTCTTTGTTGTTCATGCCAAGGCTTCGTGATAGCAGAGAGGTCACTGGCTGTCATCAGCATCGACCTATGGGGTTAGAGGAAATGTCTTAAAGGTACAGTACTCTCCCTCTCCATCATATATCATCATCATCATATTATCCTCACCTCAATAAATCTCTCTGTTTCTCGCTCTTCCAGTTCACTTTTCTTTTCTTAGAGAGGCTAAAGAACTCTTTTCTTCTCCTACAAACAAAGATAAAGGTTTTAGTGATTGAACATGACACGCTCACAACTTGACCTGCAGACTCTACAAGTTTGAACGTACTCCATGTAGACGGTGAGGTCTGTGGCGAGGATTGCCCTTTTGATCATCTGTAGAACCGATCTGTGCTCTTCTGCAGAGAGGCCGTTGAGAATCTGACTCCCCTAGAGGAGGGAGAGAGCGAGTCAAACTTAGGGCCTTCACTCTACACGTTGACTCACACGGAAATGCTTTAAATAATATCGGACGGTATGCTGTTTTCAAAGGGAATCGCAGCTCCAATTGTAATTCGTACTCGCAAACAGAAAATATTCAAAGTATTGTTTTTTATTACTAATGTCATGATTTGGTCTGGTTTGGTTTGGTTTAATCATGAAACACTGAAGACACTCAGAGAAGTCAATAATGTAATAAAACACACTAGAACATAGAGAGATACAAGAATAACAAATTACAAAATAAAACAGAAACACTAAAGGCTAAACTAGAAAACATTTAAAGAAACACAAGGGAAACAAGCAACACTAGTGAAGAATAAGAAAAACTAAAACAAGAAAATCTAAACTCTGAAAAACAAAACCAAACCAGACCAAATCATGACAAATAATTAATATTTCACTATCAACACAAATTTCCCTTTTTAAAATCAATATCCAGGACTCCATGTGGCTCGTCTTGACATGTGGCTCAAATAATGCTAAAAAGAGAGAGATTGAAACAAATGAAAACATGAACGGCTGAGGTCTTACAGTGTTGTTTAGGATGAAGAGGCACAGGTTGTAGTGGTGGTTCTCAAGAGAAGAGTGTCCATAAAGCTGAGCTAAAGGCTGCTGACTCCTGAGAGAGAGACAGAGAGAGAGAGAGACACATCATATTTTATAGGAATATGAAAGCCGTGATAGGATAACCAGGAGGATATACAGACCAATTACAAAATAACACTGAGAGACAGGGATGTCATGTCTTACCTCTCTATGTATGAATTGCTGACTCCTCTGTGGTCCAGATCATGACTCAGCGTGGCTATCATCAACGCTAAAATCTCTGAACGGGAGAAAATAATCTGAAATATGAACAGAAAAGAGGGAGGGAAGAGGAGTGAAATGGAGGTATAGTTTATTTGAGGTTATTTTAATGCTTCTCTACATTAACACCTTATAAATATGTTACTTCATTTAGAACCTTTATAAAGGTGTGTGTGCAAACCCTGAGTCATCAGAAGCGATGACTAGTTTGCCAGAGATCAAGAAAGAGAGAGAGAGAGAGAGAGAGACAGAGAGAGAGAGACAAAGAGACAGAGAGAGAGAGAGACAGAGAGAGAGACAGAGAGAGAGACAAGAGAGAGACAGAGAGAGAGACAGAGACACACAGAGAGAGAGAGAGAGAGAGAGAGAGAGAGAGAGACAGAGAGAGAGAGACAGAGACACACAGAGAGAGAGAGAGAGAGAGAGAGAGAGAGAGAGAGAGAGAGAGAGAGAGAGAGAGAGAGAGAGAGAGAGAGAGAGAGAGACAGAGAGAGAGAGACTTAAATAAAAGAACAACATAGGTCACTGAGGTCGAGCTCCAGACAGCTTTGATCCCCTTAATAAAGCAGTTAAGAGGTTTTAAAAGGTCCAAATTTCATCCTGTTCCAATTAAATGAGACCGCAGTGTACTTAAAACTCCAAGCAGTCCTCGAATAACTCGCCCAAAAACATCAGCATAGTTTATTGAAATGAAAAGTTACATAACTAGCAGGTCAGGAGAATCTAGACCACAAATCAGCTCGTTGTTTTAGTCATTTGTTTACAAAATTTTAAGTCACTTCCAAGTGGCTTCATTTTTTAACACCAGGTCTGGCGCTTGGAACCGACACATTACGCATTACGCTCTTTGAGCGCGCTTAAACATGACTTAGAGTGATGGTGGTAATGGCACATGAGAAACACACTGACCTGGAGTTGGTTTGTGGCCATGAGCATAGCAAACATGCTCTGAGCAGTGCTGAGTGCATGGTTCCAGTTGTGATAAGGCACGTTGTTCCTGTAACCACGTCTCACAGTCAGGACCCACTGACACAGACTCTGGAGAAAAGAGACGAGCAACACTTTGAACGATTACAAAGAAAGTAAAATCTAATTCTATTCTGATCAGTTCTAATGGTCTGATGTTTATGACCAACCAAAGACACATCTCACTGTCAGTATCCATCAACCGCTCAGTATTCATTCAGCCTTGCTCGAGGGTACCTCGGCAGTGCTCAGGAAGTGATCTGGCAGACCAGACCTACCAGAACAATTTCCAGAGTAGGTCTGCACCGGGACTAGAACCAGCAACCCAACCCAAACCAAGTCTACAGACTGAGATGTATATTCTGTTTTTTAATTTCTTAATGTTGTTTACATTTCTTTTGTTGTTTTGATCTCTTTCTATTGATTTTATTTCTTATTATGTATATTACTTACATTTGTATTTACCCATTGTTTCTTTTTCTCAATTAGATGTCTCATTTAATTCCTATTTCTGTTATAAATGTTTAATCTCCCACAAACTGTACGTCAGAATCTCCAGCTGTGTGTTAGTAAAGTATTTCTGAGTCTGCCTCTGATTTATTATGCTTGGAATAACTTTTGTAAAAACTGAAACGACTGTGATATTAATCTCTTCCAGAAGGTTAGCTGTTATCATGAAGCCTGAACACAAACGGGTCAGTCACCTTGTAATCAATGTTAAAATCCTGCACCAAGTTGAGGTCCAGAAACATCCGAACGGTGGCCTGAGAGGTCATGTCTTCTGGCAGACCGAAGTCAGAGAAATGGAAATCTAGAATACGCAGTGAATCGGCAGAAGGAATTTCGGCCTCCTGAAAAAAAAAAAAAAAAAAAGAAACAACAAAAAGCCATAAAAAATAAACACTCATGCTGAAAACACAACCGAGGAAAAACACTTTCCATCGTTGCTACTGGAAGGCAGTGACAGCCACTCACATGTAGTCATGGCTGCCAATCAAGAGATTTAAGTAGATAGAGGATTAGTTGTACGTTTGCATAAAAGCCAATTAATCTGACATGCAGAAATAAACTAAGGGGTTAATCCAGGACTGCAGACAGACTGACAGTACAATAAGGGAGGGTGAATTAAGGATAGCTCGGAGGAACACTTAGTTCATACATGATGCTGATGGCCTAAATTTGCCTTTCCACTTTTTTTTTTATGAGCTGCATCGAGGCTATGCAGGATCTGAAAGAGTCCTTGTATGTGCAAAAAAAAAACAAAGTAAAGAATCACCTGCAGTACTTGGATTTCTTGCTCTGCTGCTGTGATGTGATAGGCTAGAACCTGTGGCAAGAAGAAAAAACAACAGCATTGGTTTTCAAACTCCTTTAACCTTTGACCCTGAGCTATAGACAAGAGAAAAACAAGGGGGGGGGGTCACCCACCTCCTGTGTGACCTCAATACTGGCCCTGCGCTCCTCAGTGATCTGCACAGCCTGGGCGTACTGTAGAGCCAGGCCGCAGTACACCGCCAGGTCCTCTAGTAGGCGCTCATCATATCTGTTGAAGGCCTCCAACTCGTCTGAGTCTCTGCACCTTTTGTTCATTAGCTGGCACACGGCTGTATGACAGTAAAGGAATAAACAAGAGGATTCACTTTATTTGGCAAAAAGAAAGCGTCAATCTCTTCTGTAGAAAAAATAAACCAATGCAGAAGTGCAAGAACTGCAGTTCAGAGTGTCCACTTGAGTATTGAAGATAACTACATCAGTTCGTCTCATCTGTATATCTGGCCCATGGTTTCGCCGCTTTATCATGGTTAAAGTAAACATTTACCTCCTGCTCTTAATCACGCTGTTTATAAAACGCTCACTTCCCTTTCAGTGCAGTAAACATCATTATCTGTGTGCTTGGCATGAGCGATGAGAAGTCAGGATCTATAGAAGTGAGTGAGTGAAACTGAGACTAATAATATAAATAATGAATGAAGCCTGTTGTCATTTCAAGGAGTCTCACCAATAACATCTTCAGACCTCTCATTTCTGACAGGGCAGCAGATCAAGCTCTTCATTGACTCGTCAGAACTCTCAAACATGTTGAGTGTTTCCATAGCCAGCAGAGTTCGGAGGGCATATGACTGGTCAATATCGCTGACGTCATGCTCCCTGAAAAAAATGACATGGAAGCATTTTGAATAAGTATGATGTAAGATGAAGACTATATCGTTTGGTTTGATACAGATAAGCGCAGGACAACGTTTCAACAATATGGCAAAAATCAGTCAACATGCCATCAACCAGGTAATAGTCTTTTCTAAATGAAGAGGTACCTTCTGTAGATCTGGCAGGAAGATCCAAGCTCTTCACACTCCAGGTGGATCACTCTGGAGAATGAATCCTAAAATAAAACCATCATAAGCACAGAAAAAAAACCTGTTAGAAAAGACTAGACTAGCGATTTGGAAATTAGAAAAGAAGAGTGAACAGGAAAAAGCACCTCGTCTTGATCACTGGGGATGAAGATTGTGCAGTACTGCGAACGTGTGAAGGGCATGATGGTGGCAGCCATTTTGCTCAGCAGAACTTCAAAGGAATGGTGCTCCTTTGACAATACCTGCGCCATCTCTATCAAGGCCTGATACACAAACAAAGAATCAGGCATAAATTGTTTGAGTTACATTGACATAGAAAAAAACTGACTTCATTTTGTTCCCTGTTGTTGTTACCTGACTGCGTTTGGCCTCTTGTCTTGAGCTCTCATATAACTGGACATTATCCAGAACCATCCCCAACACATCCATGTGGTTGGACAGCACCTGGCCAGTGAAATGAAAGGAGCAATATGTAACTCTGACACCTAGCGTTTAAAACGGGTACTGCAGTCCAAATTCAAAACATTGGAGAGAGCTGGCCCCCTTCCGCCCCCTCCTCTCTAGAGTCGAAGCTCACACAGGTTGTCATGTCACAAACACTGAAGCTTCAGTGTTTAGCCAGCTCTATTTTTCAAAAGCATCTCCAATATTTATCCTAGTTTGACCACATTTCTACGTCGTCGATCTTATTAGAAAAATTCTGAGGCTTTGTAGGTCGGGTAGAATCAGTTAGATCTGAACCAGTTTGCTTGCCCGCTTCCATCGCTGCAACACCTGTTGGTTTGCTGTTTGCCGTTTTTACCGCCTACCTTCTCTGGTCAAAACAAAAACAGACCAAATCATGGAGCCAGTAAACCTGGAGATTGTTGACAGTTGTTTAATCACATGAGTCATTCTGAGGTCCCAGTTTGATCAACAATGTCATGTTAATGTACATTTTTCATAGCATCTGGGATGGAGTGAGACACAGTCCCAGTGCTGTTGGACTATTTATCAGTGCTCATGTAATAAATCAAATCCAATATGGGGACTTGGTAGGAGTTATCTTTTGTGTGACGAGAAACAGGTCCAAACTTTAGATGACTCACCTTTTCGTCCATGTTGGTGAAAACAGAAACTGATACGTCAGAGCTGTTTCTCTTGTTGAGCATAACCACCACGCCAACCACCTGTGCACAAAAGGAGAAGTGTTATATTATTGTACAGTCCGAGTGAGCACCAGCCAAGATTCTAATGTTGATATTTGGTTGAAAACAGGTTGAATCAAGGTCTGAACATCTAATACCTAAGACCAAATAACCGAAGAAACACAATTTTGTTTTGAAGTTTTGATAACTAGTTCATTTTTTAGGCTGATGGAAATGATGATTGTTTGTCTAAAGTCAATTTTCAGCATTTGCATTGGGCGAAATAAAATCAACATAGAGACATTAAGACTGCTCATTCTCAGATACTAAAGCTATGTAGCTCTGACTACCTAGACCAGGATTTCCCAATCTTAGGGTCCTGTGAGGTCGCATGGAAGTCCAAAAGGGTCTCCTGGAATTTGTTTTTATTGATTAATAAAAATACATTTTATCTTCAAATATATTGAACACAGGCTACTGGGAGCCATAGCCAATGCCAAAACAAGAAACCTATAGAGTTTCTGTCTGTCATCCATTGTACAGAAATGTCATCCAGCCTTCCTCTGTCCACAATATACATGAAGAGGCCTAAATGTGGTCGATTACATGACTGAAAACAAATTAATTTAAGCAGAATGCTGAATATGATTTGGATGTCTGGGGTCGCCAGAGTTCTGTGAAGTTAATCTGGGGTCCCGAGCCAAAAAAGGTGGGAAACCACTGCCCTAGATAGAAAGACCGTACTAGGTACTTAATACCTGACAGGATCAGTGTTTGACATAAATGTAAGTGACTGACTTTGGAGAGCGTTGATATTAGAAACAGGGAGTAAAGAGTTTGAAAAAAATGATCTACTGCATTATTTTTCGTTGGTGAATACGATGCAGATCGATTATGCACTCATTTTAGCTGTTAAAAATATAAGATGCATCTTGAAAATCGCAGCTTGTGAATGTGTAATGACTCTTGTGACACATTCAGAAACAGTGATCCGAGCATAGACGTTGAATCAACCGAAGAGACGTTTACTTTTGAATGTCTTTTCAACATTGGCCACTGACGTCTTCTAAACGTCTTTTAAACTAAAAAATGCTCATTGGGATCTTTGTTATAACTTCAGCTACAATGATCCACTGTTTATTTCTATAGGAATATGTTTGTACATTGTCTGGATAAGGCAAGAGAGAGAGAGAGAGAGAGAGAGCGAGAGAGGGAGAAATTATCAAAAATAAATGGAAAAAACTGCTACCTCTTCTCTGTGGTTCTTGATGGGAATACTCAAAAGAGTCCTGATTTTTGATGATTGATCCTCATCTATTTCAAACCGGGGGTCCTAAGGAGGTTAAAAAAAAACATTTACGTAAACCACACTGCAGAAAAAGCACACCACTTTTACATAAATCATGTGTAATGCACCATTATGTGTATCAAGATCTTTATGTAGGACTGTAACACCAACTTCCCTCCTCAGTCTTGACCCACACCCAGCTAGGAATACCCTAATTTATCCGTACTAGTGGTGTCCCGGAGAATAAAAAGAACTATGCCTTCCCATCCACACCCACACTGGTTGGGGATTACCTGGCGTGGCGCTATGCCAGGTGTTGGCACTGACTCCTAATCTCATTGGTGCTGAGATCATGTAAGGATGGAGTGGGCATCATAAGCCCTATTTCACTTTGCAGGCTTGTGTGTATGTGTGGGTTTATGTAAGGAAAAGAACAGACTGGGGAGTAGTAGATAACATCACTGCCTCGATAATCACATGCTAAATCGGTGGAAGCCGTCTCTTAAAGGATTAGGAACTGGTGCGTCATCTGGGATTCCCCTAAACAGCCCCACCCTTCATGGAAACACCAACATGCCATCTAAAAAGAGCTTATCTGGAAAGTTGACCCATTTAGGTTAAGAGTTTTAAACTAAAAACACATCGACAACTAACATGAAAGTCTGAAAGTTTACCTCTGATACTTCTCTGAGGTTCATTGGCGACCCTGTAGCCAGCACACATCCCATGATGCCCTTCACTAGCTCCATGTGTGCATGGCTGCAGAGATTCCCTTCACTCAAGCCCCCCAACTCCATCAGAGCAACCGCCTCCTCCAACGTGCTCCTTCCACTAGAGTCTTTCTTTACCAAGGAGAGGCAGCAACCCTCAGCCACCAGCAGCTCCCCAGCATGCAGGACAGCCCCGAGGCAGAGCTCTGCGACAGAACCCATCCAACTGAGACCTCCTCTCATGAGCCCCCTCATCCACGGGCAGCACTCGCCATTTCCGCAGGCTGCAGGTGATGGGGCAGTGGTACACTGAGGCTGAAGAGGGAAGTGGGGTAACTCAGGGGAACCTGGGCATATGGGAGAAAGAGGGGGGCATGGGGAGAAGGAGAAGCGAGAAGAGCGAGGAGAGAGAGGGGAGTGACACCCCATCACATCCGGCGTGAAGGAATCGATCCACTCAGAGGCAACGTGGTGGGAAGCGAGGGGTTTTAGCCTGTCTGATGTGTAGGAAATGTTCAAGTGTGGGTTGGTGAGAGGTGAGGAACCTCTGCGATGGTGCAGAGCTTTCTGCAGGCAAGAGTGGTCCGAGTTGCTTTTAGGTATCCTGGGCTGCAGATGGGACACATCTGTCTGTGGAGCAATGGCCCTTTAGGGGACGGCAGCGAGAACAAAAATTACTGGATGGAAAAGTTCAACCAAAACTTGAATTTTACTCCATCATTCTTGAGGCAATATAGCCTAATAAAGCAAATTTTTCCCCCGGCTTTCTGCCATGCCAATTAACAAACTATAAATTGGTGGCGCGGATGGCCAAGCGGTTAGCAGATGCTATAGTCCTCAAAGCAGGCGGCACAGGTTCGAGCCTGACCTGTAGCTTCTTTTCCTGCATTTACTCTCTCTCTCTGTTTCGGACTCTATCCACTGTCCTATATTAATAAAGTAAAAAAAAAGACCCAAAATAAATATAGAGAAGTACATTGTCTTTATTTTTATTAAGATACTAGTATTGTTGTTGTTGTTGTTGTTGTTGTTGTAGTTGTAGGCCTATTCATCACTTTCATTATCTTGTCCTTCTCTGACTTTTGAGCTACTGTAACAACTGAGTTCCCGCCAAAAGGGGATCAAAGGCTTTCTTATCTCCAAAGTACAACTTTAAGCGCGTGCTCTATAATTAGTTTTATTGGACTCATAATTATTTTAAAACCTGATAAAACACATTTATGCTGCTATAGTTTGTGACTTACGCGGAAGCTCTGCGTAAAAAGTAGGCCCTGGTAAAGTCGGAGTGGTCATCCAGCCATGCCTCCACTTGGTTGCCCTTCATGCCGTCTTCAAACCTCCTGCGACGCGTCTTGGAGCGCGGGCTCCACAGCGGTGAGAAGAACCAGCCCATGCCCTTCATCGTCAGCGGCTTGCTCTCCTCGGTTACCGTGCGGAGGGACTCTTCTGTCTCCGCGGTGGCAGCAGTTGACACCCTGGCAGAAGTCGCGCTCCCGGACTCCATGGACTCCAGCACCTCAGGTTGCAGACAGGGCATCCCCTCGCTCAAGTAAAGCGAGAAAAGATCCACCAAACTCAGCTTGAGGTTATCAGAGCCGTCTCGGAGAAACGCGTGCCATGCGGAGGAGCCCAGGCAAGACTACGGCGACGAGCAGGTGAGGACGGCAAAGTCTATGGAGCAGCTCGTGGAAAAAGGCTTGCGTCAAGGTAATCCCTGACCTTTATTTAGCCTATCCTATCTGGCTGCACTACACGTTCATTTATTAAATGGGACCGAATTAATCTTCGTTACCCAATGACTGGGCTGGGTCCAATCTATGACTTTGCTTCTCTGAGAATGGGCTCATGAGTAAGTCCCTCTGTCATATGTCAGTACATTTAGACGACCTACAAAAAGTTCACGTTTCTTATGTCATTTTTGCCTGACTGTTATCAGGAGGTTTCTTTTGCACACACACAGTAGGCTGCATACTTAATAATTTTTAATTCCAAAAACAACAAACAAACAAACAAAAACAAGGAATTGCATATGTGCAGGAGAGGTAAAAGATCAAATGCAAAGGAACTTGTTTATTTGAATGCATGTAAATATAGGAATATAAGAAAAAACAGTCATTTCACTATAAAATATTACATTTCTAACACTTTTTTTTGCTAATGCACACAAACAAAGTTGTAATGTATGCAACCTATTATATTCTGTTTGCTTTTTGGTGTTATAGATGCCATCATTATGACGTCATTATTTATTTCTAGTAATTTGCCCAAACTTCATTCACATAAATCTGTTCACTTTGTTGGTTACTCTTTTTGTCAGGAAACTTTTTATGTAAAAAAAAAAAAAAAAAAGCCTGTTTGCACACTAACATGTATTTTCCTGTTGCAGTTTAGAAAACCTTTAAAGTTATTTTTTTTAATGGTGTAATATCTTCCTATATAAAACAGCTACATTTTAACCTGGATATTTCCAGTGAGAACCAAACAATCATTTAATGTGTAACAGCACCCTCTGCCGGCGCCTCATTCCTTCATCATCTGCAGTGGGTGGGTCTACCGTTGACAGCTGTGCCGTGATTGGCTGCTCCAGGAGGAGGCTGCCATGACACAGTGGATGCTGCACAGAATCAGTTCCACAGCATCAGCAGCCAGCAGACCTCCATCCTCCTCGCTGTCCCTCTCTCCTTCTCTTTTTTTCTCCTCCTTCTCACCGCCACCACCACCACCACCACCCTCGCTCTGTCTTCTCTCTCTCTCTCTCTCTCTCTCTCTCTATCCCTCCTCTTCTTCTCCTCTCCGTTCCGACAGACAGGGAGGAATAGCAGCAGCAGCAGCAGCAGCACGGGCAGCAGGCGGACTGGTAGGTGTGCTGAGGCCTGTCTCCCTCCTGCAGCACAGGCAAGACATCGCGTTCTCCTCTGATCTCCGTCAAGGACTATGTATTTGAGATGTGTGTGTGTGCGTGTGTGTGTGTGTGTGATGAGAGAGCAGGATCTGGAAAGTAGGCAGAGGACTACCACACCTTAAGAGCATTTTTAAGCTACACAGGGTGGATGTCTTAATGGATATTTTCACCTTCTCTATTGCCTACAGAAGGATAAATATTCTCTGTTTCTCTGCCGGAGCCTTTTGTTTATTTTCTGGGATCTGCTTCAGTCTTGACTAAGCCTTGTGTTTCTGCACACGTGTGTCTTTGCTAATGAGTGTGCTGAATGTCTAACAAAGGTCACACCATTTGGCATGCTGTGTAAATGTATTGTCAGCCTGCCTAATGACAGCCTTCCTGTTTTTTTTCTGTGTCTAATACTCACTTCATAACCAGCCGTTGCACCCTCTCTCTCTGCCTCATATCTTCCACCTCTTCACCTTCCACTTCGCTGCATTTACCCTCTCACTTCTTATCTTCCTCCCCCCCCCCCCTCTCTCCCTGTCCATTCCTGTCTCCATCTCCTCTTCACAACCTCTCTACCCCTCCTGCCTTCTTACCTTTCTTCCATCCTTCCGGCTGGCTGGTTTTCCCAGGATGCCTTGTTCCAGGCCGCTCCGCTAGGCCCGAGCAGCATGGGCGGAGCCTGGGTGGGGAGAGAGAGCACGGATTGGACCCTTCCCATCAGGACGGGCGCGCTGGCGGGTCACCCTCCCTCGGCTTCAGATGGGCGAGGACGCTGAGAGCCCCAAAATCAACCACACCTTCCTTCGAGACTACGTCACTGAAGGTAAAACAGACGGGGTGTCATCTTGGTCTCTGTGGTGTCAGATACCATTCTGCTATGATTAAACAGCTTTTAAAAACTCATTTGAACCCATCTCAAGCCAAATGTTTTAATGTTTCCTTAAGGCTGTATGTTTAGTTTTTCATTCAGTCATGTTGTTTCTATCTTTTTATAATTGTGTCTTATTTGTTATTACTCTTTTTTTTGTTACTACTCTTATTTTTCTCGTATCGTTTTCCCTTATTTCTCTTTTTCTCTTATATGGAGATCTTTTGAGATATAGGCAATGTGTGATATATGTTGTTGTAGGTTTTCAGTGGGATGTACTTCTCTGTTTACATGCAGATTATGTTTTTTTTATAATGTTCTCATAAATTGATGAAACTGTGGAGGCAGTTAAATCTGCGCAGCATGTGAGTGTGAGACAAATTCCCCTAAGGGAAGTATAGCTTAATATTAGTATCACATCTTACTGTATTATATCTTATTACATTATATCGTATCATATCGTGTAGTGTCACAACATATTGTATTATATTATATTACAAAACAGTTAGTGCTAATTGAGTGTTCTGATTGGACAAGAGACCAACATCACTAGGACTTTTTAAAATGTGTATCAGTCCGTCTCAGCCACGGGTTCTGAATACTGTAAGTCCACATAACAGTAGACTGTTCTTAGTGTGGCTGGAACCTCTAAATCACAGAACAGACTCAATGAACCTGCTGCAGGATCAGTTCAATCACACAAATAAATGTACATAAAACTGGGCAGCCGGTCTGTGGTAACAATGGGGGCGTAGCGTAGAGTTTAGTAGATTATTACTCGGGTTGCTTAGTAACAGGTCAGTGTCAGTTAAGATGAGTTGATTAAGTGAAAAGTTATAAGATGATGTTGTCAGTTGGCTGGTTTGGAAGGATGGACTGACTGAAGGCAGAGGGAGACTCAGCATGGGGGTTTGTCTCAAGCATAATTCTGCACGAGCTGATTACAGCCCAGACTGTTCCTGGAATTAAAAATACAAGATGAAGGAATGACGAAGGTGGGTGAATGAATGAGAGGAAGGGAAGGGATGGTTGGTCTAAGAACTGGGTGGAGTGGGATGGCTCGGTATAAGTAGGCTTGTCAGGTGATTGAAGGTGTGGTTTAGGCGTGGTCCTGCTCCCGACCTCAGTTAAGATATTAACTTCATTTATTTTCCTGTTGTCCTCCCAGCTGATGTCATCTCTACGGTGGAGTTCAACCAGACAGGGGACCTGCTGGCCACAGGGGATAAAGGTGGCCGAGTGGTCATCTTTCAGAGAGAGACCGAGGTCAGTTTATTTTAATCATTCAATTCTACACCAAGGATATGACCCATGTGTTCATTCATTTAAAACACTTCAGCATTTTTAGTCACCCTAAACAGTTTGCTCATCCCCATAAATGTTGATGCAAATCTCGGTTCCCCCCCCCTCTTTCTAATTCCCATGTACAGTCTAAAGGAGAGTTGGAGGACGTAGGGGAGACACTGGACTCGGGGGAGTATAATGTCTACAGCACGTTCCAGAGCCACGAGCCGGACTTTGACTACCTGAAAAGTCTAGAAATCGAGGAGAAAATCAACAAGATCCGATGGCTGTCACAGCAGAATGCAGCACACTTCCTCCTCTCCACCAATGGTGAGAAACCAGGGACACTAAAGCCCCGTTTCCAGCACCAAGCAGTCCTGTTTGATTCAGTACAGATTGGTACGGTTTGGTACAGTGAAACCACAGTAACCGTACCCTTACACATCACTAAGTCACAGCGGCACTACATAGTGTAAGACAGCCAATAAATTCAACAAAGAAGAAGAACTTGACACAGTAAACAAAGATTAATGATTCCTAGGAAGGTCTTCATCTACGTGGTTGTCCAAGGGGCGGAGCTATGTGCTGACAATAGTCGCAAAAAAACAAAAACAGCCTTTAAATTACTCTCTCTCGATCCACAGGATATTTAAACATGGTGCGTTTGGTGTTTGTACTTTATTACCGCTGTCACATGGGAAGTGAAGATTCTTTTGACCAATCAACGGACTGCAGTGTGGCAAAAAAAAGTAGGATGGTACGGATGGGTTATTTTAGGACCACACCCAACTTTTGACATTAGAAACACCAGAGATAAGTGAACTGTACTGAACCGAGCTGAACCGGTCCGCTTGGTGGAAACGGGGCTTTTCAGATCAACCAGATTCATGATGATAATTGTTTTTTGATTGCAAAGATATGCAAAGTGATACGACTGACGGGGGTGTGAATTACACACTTTAGACCTCCAATTCCCAGCATTATGCCGACTTGGCCTGATCTTCAATTACCAAAGGGGATAATATGACAGCAAGCCAGTCACTGGAGTCATATTTGTTGCTACAGTAGTGGCACCAACCTGCCAGTGTGAAAACCACAGGATGAAATCTCTGCTTTAATTGCTCTTTAATAAGTGAGAACGGGATCGTGTGTTAAAGAAATGAAGCTCACTTTACAGAATAGATTTCTCTAAGTTAAATTTTCGACTTCATTGCAGATAATTGCTCATCTTGATTGCCTAACAAAGAGGGCTTAGAAAGAGAACGTATCAGGTGTCTTTCCCACTGACAGTTAGCATTATCTGTAGCATTTAAAGTCACCTTCCTCTGAACTTTATCAACTCTCCATGATGTGCAAAATCTCCGCGCCTGTCACAGATAAGACCATCAAACTGTGGAAGGTGAGCGAGCGAGACAAGAGGCCAGAGGGATACAACCTGAAAGATGAGGAGGGACGGCTCAAGGACATCTCTACCATCACCTCTCTGCAGGTGCGTGCACACACAAACACACACACACACACACACACACACACACAAATGCAAGCCTGCACATGCCCACCTTTATTTTGCTCAGTAGGATATCATATGTATCGATAGATGTTGAGTGGTGCTTGTCTTGATACCCCTCCATCATGTCCTCTAACATTGGCCTTTCAGCATCATTTTCTCTCTATGGCTCGTCCTCTTCATGCTTTTCCTTAACTTTTTCATTCATCTCTTTAATGTCTGTTTCTAAGGTGCCGGTGTTGAGACCCACAGATCTGATGGTAGAGGTTCGACCCAGACGAGTGTTCTCCAATGGACACACCTACCATGTCAACTCCATCTCTGTCAACAGTGACGGGGAGACCTACCTGTCTGCGGATGATCTCCGCATCAATTTGTGGCACCTGGGCATCACAGATCGCAGCTTCAGTATCCTTCCTTACGCTGGTTTCTTTTGTCTTAATCTCACTGTTTTATCTCCTAAATTAGTAAAAACAAATCTGATGACATTATCCCAGGGATCGCCTGTGTAACTGTCTTGCACATGTGTATCATACATATTGGACTGATAACACTTCATCAACATCCCTGAACGTTCTCTATAAGGGATCTTTTACTGGATTAAACAACATCACAGGGGATCAAATTCCCAGAACTTCAGCTAAATAAAAGTGGATGAGATAGTGGACAAATTGCACATTGGACACACTTATTTCACTGTTGAGAAATGTTCAATATGTTATCACAAAGTATTCAGCAGCAATATGATGAATATGATCATAGTATTTTTCTAAATCTATTTCTGGGACAGGGCTGATGAAGTAAATAGAAAGAGCGGAAGTAAAAGAGAGCTAGATTAAGTACTAAGTGCTTCCACTCTGCGCCCGGTCCTATTGATTAAAGTACTTTTATAATAAATCCAAATAATGTCTGGGCTCAGTTCATATTCAAATCATCAGGAAGTCTAGAACATCATCCAAACCTGATTTTATTCATTACAGTGGTTAAAGCTCCTCTAAAGAACTCTAAAGAGGTTTGTGTTGATTTTGGCGCCCCCTGTTGGCAAAGTAGTTTGTACATGTGAGGGTAGTTTCTTGTCTTTCCGTCAAAAATCTCATCCCACTTTCTTTAAACAGTCAAATATAACACTCGTCAAGAATCTGGGCCGTAGAAAATATAGTTTTTGTCAGGTAACACCAAACACTTTGGTGTCAGCAGTTTTAAGCCTTAGAATTACCTAATAAGAATGAAGCCCCCTCCTGGGGCGTGCTGGTGGCGCAGCGGTTAGGGCGTACGTCCCATGTGCACATGTCAAGCGGTAGGCCCAGGTTCACTTCCACCCATGGCCTCTTTCCGCATGTCATTCCCCTCTCTCTCCCTAGTTTCCAACTCTATCCACTGTCCTATCTCTGCATTAAAAGGTACAAAAGCCCCTCTCCCCCAAAAAAAAGAATAATCACTCCTGTGACTGACGGTTTCTTTTGGTTTTGTAGGTCATTAAAAGACATCAATATTAATTTCAGTCACTTTTTTAACCAGCTAAAATACTTTAAGCAGCTTTAAAGTCAGCGTTTAAAGTTGTTGTACTATAAGATTAACTTTGAAACAACTTTTTTAAAAAGGAAAAGTGACATATTGTTGCTTTAATTAATGTATGAAAATATGAATGACTCTATAACAAGAACGAGAAGTGTTGATGTGCTTCACATACCAAAATGTATATACATGCTTTGAGATGCTCTCTGAAGCAGAAGCTGATTCTGTTGGACTGCATGCGCATACATTCAGAATTAAACAATGCTATATAAAACTACATGTGAAATATACCATGCATGTTTTTGTCCGTTTAAACATTGGGGGCCGTCTACTCCTACGACCAATGTGGAAAGCAAAAACATAAATCTAAACACAAGACTCGTGTCTTGAAATGTACACGCAGACAAAATATATACTTTACATGTCTACTCATCTTTATTCATCCTGGATTTATATTTAATGTAACTGGTGCATAGCTATGTTTGGATTGATGTTTCTCTTAGAGTGCCGTGTACCGCCAGGGAGTGTGTTTTTCATCGCAGGCTGCAGCGTGTTGGATGGGCTGCATTCGGTGACTTCCCATTCAAATGGAAGCTGACCTAGAAAATGGAGAGAGGCATCTATGGAAGAAGAGTTTAAATAATTCAGTCAGCAGTACACTTTCTACTGAACCACACAGGACTGCCACAAATAGAACAGAGAGGAGCAGAGTGGGGAGCATTTCTGGGGAGGGGGGTGGTGGGGGTTATTTGAATTGAGTTTTGGGGGCATGGAGAACATGCTGTTATTAAAAAGTGAAAACATGACATCATCTCTCTGTCCATGCAGTGTCTTTGCTCTTTTGTGTCCCTATTGAGAATGTGGTGCCATCTCTGCGGTGTCTTATCCCTAACAGAGATTTTCCTCAGACATTGTGGACATCAAACCAGCCAACATGGAGGATCTGACGGAGGTGATAACATCAGCGGAGTTCCACCCGCACCACTGTCACCTGTTTGTGTACAGCAGCAGCAAAGGCACCCTGCGCCTCTGCGACATGAGGGCGTCCGCGCTCTGTGACAGACACACCAAACGTGAGCATGATGGTGGTGATTAGTGAGCATAGAAGTTAAGACAATGCTAATAGGCTGGTTATGTTTGTTGATGGGTTATAAAATTCACCGTAACTTTCTGTCATTGGTCAGTGTTTGAGGAACCTGAGGATCCAGGGAGCCGCTCTTTCTTCTCAGAGATCATTTCCTCCGTGTCGGACGTCAAGTTCAGCCACAGTGGACGCTACCTGCTGACCAGAGACTACCTCACCGCCAAGGTGTGGGACCTGCACATGGACAAAGGCCCAGTAGAGACGTTCCAGGTGAGGTAGCGCAGCTGTCTCCCGCTTTGTGCTCCTTTCTACAGACTGTATGAAGTGCCTTCAACCTGAATTATCTTTGATGTCCAGCAGGGGACAAAGTCTAGAAATCTGATTGTTAACCTTGCGTTAGCGTACACAACCAGCTGGATTCTGAACGGAATTGTTCACATACTTTGCTACCTGTGTTACTGGAGGTCACCTCTAGAGGGCAAACCAGAGAGAGCTCAGGTTGAATGCAATTACTGGATGTTTAGGATGTGAGCTCCAGACAATGTGTAGGTTAACAACGTGATGATTCTGCGATCAGAACTGACATAATATTAACGTCAATAATCAATAATGACATCAGATCAGCTCAGAAGACTCCAGTTTTTGCAGATTTTAATGTCAACTTCTTAAACAGTCCTTATGTGTCGCCAGCTGCTTTTACATGCCTGTTTGTTGCAGTGCAGTGGAAATGAAACATCATACAGATGTGGATGATTGCAGACTTAGTCTATCAGCTTGTCTTCAAAACTTTCTCCAGTTGTTCTCCCTACTGCTGGTTCGACCCTGTAACATCCCCTCTGCCTCTACACTGCCCCTACCGCCCATATGCATACTGCATCTTATGACTGTGTTCATTTTTGAAGACATGAACAGACAGAGAGAACGCCTGGTGGCATAGAAAAATAGGGGCGCTATATGTACATGTTGTTGGAACCAAGTCAGACTTAAGTGATTAAGTACCTCAGAAAACATAGTTCCAGATGTAGTTCATATCCTTTTTTCAATATCACATGAGGTTCCCATCCATTATAAAAGAAGCGATGAAGCATGATATGATTCAGAGCGTGCATGGGTACTGAAAAAAAAAAAAATAGAGCCCTTATTCCAGAGAGTAAAACACCAATGGTCGACATCACAGGTCTCCATCTGTTTCACATGTGAAAAGTCAATGTATCTCTCCCAATCTAGTTTATGAAGTCACTGTGAGGTCTGTGTATTTTGACTGTGACAATGGGTACATGGAGTTCACTGATAAAATAAAATAATCTTTTGTAACTTTCATTTTGATTTTACTGTTGATGTTGTCTTTTATGCTGTATGTTAGGCCTGGGAATCTTTGGGTGTCTCTCGATTCGATTTTGATTCTTGGGGTCAGGATTCGATTGAGAATCTATTTTCGATCCAAAGCGATTCTGGATCCATGATTCAAAGTCTGTTTTTGAATTAGTAGACACTTCAGGATCTACTCCAGTCATCTGTGAGACTGGCTGAATTTCTTGCTGCTCCATTTGGCATTCTAATGAGTTAAAGAGCTAGCATTAGCACTTAACAGGGAGTGACTGATTAGCCCAAAAAAAAAATTAATTTAGGAACTTGTGAATCTATATAAAATCTCAGAAGATAAGAATCTTTTCTTTTCTTATTTTATCTTCTTACTGTATGTCATCTTCTGTTTGCTCCTGCTGCAAAACAAATGTCCCCTTTGTGGGGACAGTAACGAATCTGATTGTAAGCATGTGTCGTTTCTCTTTATGATCCCCAGGTCCATGAATACCTGAGGAGCAAGCTGTGTTCCCTCTATGAAACCGACTGCATCTTTGACAAGTTTGAGTGTGTTTGGAACAGCTCAGACAGGTAAGTGGAAGAGAAAACAAGAAGACAAGGATTGACAGTGTGCTCTGTGTTTAAGTCCACTGACAGAAAAAGGAAGGGGACAGTCTCTTTGCTAAATGCTCTGCCTCTGCAGTAACCAGACATTTCAGTCAATAACACAGACAAGCTTTGCAGGAATCCAATCAATCTGTGCACCCTTACAGTCACTGTGCTTTCTGTTTTCCTACCTTCCCTTGCGTCCTTGAACCCTCCTGCCCTGCATTCACTTGCCCTCATTCAAAATGACATCTCATTATTCATGACCCTCTCCTGCTCTCTTTTCAGCGTGATCATGACAGGCACGTACAACAGCTTCTTCCGCATGTTCGACCGGGAGACGGGGCGTGGCGTGACTCTGGAAGCGTGGCGAGAAAGCAGCAAACCTCGGGCCGTGCTGCGGACCCGGCGCGTGTACACGGGGGGCAAGCGTCGACGGGGAGACGTGGGCGTAGATAGCCTGGACTTCACCAAGAAGATCCTGCACATGGCCTGGCACCCGGCTGAGAATATCATCGCCATAGCAGCCACTAACAACCTGTACATCTTTCAGGACCGCGTCAACCCTGACACACAGGGCCAGTGACGGGGGACAAGATGAACGACAGTGGCAGAGACACCAACCCAAATAGATTTGGTTGTTTTAGGGGTGACATGGTGATATCTGACAACCTTCAAAACATGTCATCGTTGATATTAATCGGATTGTTGATAAAAAAATGACGGTAATATTCTTTTTTTATCCCCAAGGAAGGTTTTAAATGATTTTTGTTCAACACCGAGGTGAACTCTTGTCTCCGGCACCCATCAGGACATTATTTTTTTCTTCCTATCTCTCCCTCTTTTTTGAAGATGTTTGTGTAACTGCTCCATTGTAGGGGCAGGAAAAAGAGGTGCGGGGACACCTCTCTCCTTTCTGCTTTGACATCCACACCACGCTGCACACCTTTTCACCGATGTAGTCGGATACATTTTGACACAAAAAAAAAGGGAACACAAGTGTTGGGTAGCAACAAAGAAAGACCTTGACATGGTGACACGGCGTATTCCCAACGACTTTGTCAGACAGTTCATCCAAATCAAAGCATTTTTTCACTACTGTGGAGCATTATGAGCGATGTTATTGTACAGCTTTTCACAACAACATCCTCAACCTTTTTGTTTTTTGTTCATCCATCAGCTGCTAACAGCTGCTGAACCTCTCCTTTGGAGCAGTGCTCTTGGAGATTGCACGCATAACTGACCCCCCCCCCCATCTTTTCCCCCGTTCACTTTGCAATAACAGCACTAAGAAAACACCGTGCAGCAGTTTTCCTGCTTTCAGACATGAGCTCTTCTTCTACTACAGGTATACATACACTCTTTTTACTGCTAGCTGTAAATATTCTGTGTTTTTTTTTAATAAGGTACCATTTTTTGGTTCCGGAGAGATACAAAAAAAAAGAGGTGAAGATGGAGTTGTAGTCAGTACACTGCAGGACATCCTGCAAGAAAGATGGTAAAAATGAGCGCTATGCTAGAAACCGGTTCGACTGAGTGTTTATTTCTTGTAGCGGTACTTTGGTATTGCTGGTTACAGAAAGGGAGGAACGACTTGTGCACAAACCAACATGTACTGATTTGTTGTGTGTGTCCATTGAGTTTGGATCTTTTGTATCAATGCTTTTATTTGTCTTAACGTGTGCATACCAACATTGTGCATTACTGAAAAGAAAAAGCAACAGCGTGTTCATGTCGACCTCGTTTGGAAATGCTCAAATTGGGGCTGATAGGAGATTCAATCAAACACAAACAAAGTCAACTCTAAGTGTTATGCTGATTCAAAATGAGCTGCGGTTATTTCATAATGCATAAGCACTTTTTGAGGATGCATATTACAATCAAAATGTTGAATTTGAAGCACATCGTTCCTTCGTGAGCCCCAACAAATTGTTTTGATGAGTGAGCTTGTGTGCAGTGTATTTGAAGGTTATCGTCAGTGCAATATCTCATCATGTACGTCGCTGAAATGTCTTGAACATAACAATAATGTCATTAACATTTATCATACCACAAGTTCTAAATGTCATATACCGTATACCTCACATTGACACGTGCTACTATGGGCTGCAACACTAGGAACTTAGGATGTACGGTACAGCAGTGAGGTTATGTGACCTGGTCCAGATTTGATTGTTTGCAGCTAAGTGCATCGTTTTTTAAGTGACCTTGGCCCTAATGGGATTTTTTGAAGTGAGGTCTGGAGGTGTAGTGACGCAAGTGGAGCAAGAAAATACTTGCAAAGAGGTAGAAATGAGCGCCCTTTGCATATTTTCCCCCAAAACATGCAAGTACAGTATTCTTAATTTATCCACTAAAGTATCAAGGAAGAAAATGTTAAGTATATGTCCCACTTGTCTGCTCTCCACTTTCACCTCCTTTGATTTCAAAATCCACATTCAGAGACATTTATGTTGCGGCCTTTTGGGCTAGTTTGTACTCTCATAGAAACAGCTGCTATGTCTCGGTCTTCATTGTCCACCAGTGGTGTTTAAATGCAAACACAGTCTCGCACTGATTTGTTTAACAAAGTGCACAAATCAGCAAGAAAACCAAAACAAAGACTGGTTTACATAGTGATAGTCCCCCTGAAGATTGATATCATTTCCAGGGCTCAGCTGTAGTTTAGAGCAGGTCAGTCGTTATTGAGTCATAACCACCACTACCACCACCAACACCACAAACAAGCAGTGGGAGGATTTGTGTTCAGGAGCACAGCAGCAGCATGTCGCCATTACTCAAAGCTACTAGCGTGTATATCTATCATACTTTAAAAAAAGACAAATCTAACAATACAAAAAACATTACTATAATGAGGTGAATGAAAGGAATGTGCATTAATAAAATGTGAAATCTGTCAAAAAAAAAACATGTTGGAAATGTCTCTGTCTATAATTATTGAGTCTCCGTATTTGCCTTCAGTAGTTTCGACTGAATTTGAAAAGAAAACCCTTCAAAAAGGCGTTTAAGTCAAAAGAGAAGCATTTGAATAATCTTGGCACACTCCCATCATCCATGAATAAACACTGCAATTAACTTCAATACAAATGTCACAGGTAAGTGAAGTTACCATTTAGGATCGTTTAATTTGTACTGACTACAAGTAGTATAATGCTAACCATTAAATAAATACTTCCAATGCAGTCTTTCAAGATGTCGCTGTCCAGTGAAAACATGTCTGAATGAGAACGGCCCCTGTAACTTTTTATTTTATTCAGAAGTTGGAGAAACAAAACATAAAGCAGTTAAAATGCTACTTGAAAAAAAGAAAAGTTTTGTTACACTGGACTTTGACAGAAAGCAGCGTTCAAAGCTCTGATATTTATTTGGTTATAATACATTTTTACCAATTTTTACCAATAAGTAGACAATGCAGAGGCAAATAATACTGTGATTGGAAGAATACATACCAAATATTTATAAGATGGAAAAGGTGTAATAGCCTGCTGGTATGTTTACTTGATAGTACGTAGATGTACTACAAGAAGAATCCAATCATTACATTTACGTGATGACATCGACCAATGAATTTGATTGGTGGGTTCGAACTGCAGCTGTGCGTCACTCTGGGGGCAACATAAATAAACGTTTGTCCAACAGTTTTGAGCATAGACTGTACATATTGTTTTGAGTCGAAGTGAAGTAAAGTGTCGTACTTATACGGCAAATCACAATAAATGAATGCTTATCAGCTGATTTCGGACCGAACTGTTGTAGTGTTTGATAAGAAATGAGGGAGCTTTGATGACGTTGGTGAACAGTCTGCTTATTCTATCTATGAGCATGCTAACGTGGTGGGGATACAACAGGTGAAGATAACGAGGACGGATACCTTTACTTTTGAGCTGTAATAATACGGCATCAAGTTAGCAGCATGAGGTGAGAGTTAAAGCCACTTCTGGCATTGTGCTAAGTGCCATAGTAACGTGAGTTCAATCTGCTTAATCACTTTAAACTCTTATTCGGTGCAACTGTTGTTTTTGTCCACAGCTTAAATATATTGTAAATCCATAGATGCTTTAATGGTGTAAATCCATAGATGCTTTTTATTAGCATGCTTTTTGAATTGATTGATACTTTTAAATGTAGCTGTTCTATTCAATGGGATTGTACAGAGTTAATTTGGCCTGTGTTAAACTTTTTTGGTATGCATTTAAACTATAGCCTATGGTATCATTGAATCTTGCTCTCCCAATCACCCAGGAACCTATACTGGATCCAACTAGAAACAATTGTCTACAGTCAGGGATACCAGTGGAAACATTATTAGTTAATATATTACATTAAACCATGTGCTAAGTTTCTGTTCTGTATTCTGTCTATCACTTTTACTAGTAAACCAAAAGTTGGCTGTGGTCAAAACCATGGATCTGCTAATTCGGCATTCAGAAGAATGTATTTGTGATCTCAATAAACAGCCTCACAGGAACATGAAACACATAATACGTTTGCTATTTAATGTAAAGAGCAAAGCAGAGAAAAATCCAATCATTAATGTGAGCAACTTTATGATTTATTTCAGGGTCTCTTTGGACAAAGTGGTAAATCTTACCTCTTTGCTGATCTGCCCTGTATATACTTGTGGAGTATCCTCTAACAAAAGAGCCCCAGCATTAACTGTCTTAAGAACAACTCATTGCAAAGCTTTGCCAAGGAAAACCCTAAATAAGGCTCTGTCTGTTGGCAGGATGTAGAATCTGACACAAAAATGAGAGATGCATTCAAAATAATGTTAATATTTGCTTTTTGCTAATGTTTTAGTATGGATGTGTAGGTCATAAATAAGAACCAGCATTATTGAGTATGTTTCATACCCAATAACAAGCCGCTTAGTGCAATTCTAAAAATGTAACTGATATGTTGTAAGACCACTGAGCAAGAAATAATTGATCATGATAAAAGCGTACCAAATAATGTACACATACAAAGCTAAACACATACTGTACATGCAAACATTTTCCACACACAATAAAAAAAACCTTCGACATTGGCCTATCAAAGATAATTTCACTCAGATAATGTTTATATTTTTAATAAGAATACTATATCTGTTGGTCAGCTACATACATTAGCTTCCCCAATTATGAAAGGCACTAAATTACAGTTTTTTCTTTTTCTTTAAAACAATAATGGTCTTTTCCAAATATTTATTTGGAAAAGATGACCCTGAAGACAAATGAAGGTATATAATTTTTGTCAATTTTCTTGGCATTTTGTAAATATTACATTTGGCAATGTTTCTCACGCCAAAGTATCTGACAATTCCTGAACTGCTTTAAAGGTACATTCACTAAAAAAGTAAAAAACAAACAAAAAAACAAGTAAACTCATGCACTAACAAGATCCATGTTGGATCAAAATGTAAACCAAACTGTAAGTTACATTAGCAACATAACCACATCAAAAGAATACGCCAGCAGGGCCTCCTGAAGACCTTTGGGTGAGGAATTACTTCGGCCTCACTACTTTCTTTCTTCTCAGTCAGAGATCTTTGCAGACAGAAAGGGGTAAAAGAAAAAATCAAAGGCAAACTTCAGGGCTCTCATCGTGGTGCGTCTCCAGTCTCTCTCGATCTTCACCTGCCGGGACCCGGTCAGCAGTGAAGTAGCACAGTCCATGCAGTGGATCGCCTTCAGCTCGAAGGCCGGAGCTCTGGCACCTAGTCGGCCGTCCAGCTTGGTGCTGAATTCCACCATGTTCCCAGGACTTAGGTTTAGCAGAACTTGTCTGAATTCATGGCTGGCCATTAGGTTAATATCCCTGGCTGGGTCATCCATGCTTCCATCTCGGATCATCCCTACTGTGACCTCGAAGCGATGGCTGTCAAAGCGCTTGATGTGGCAAGTGTGTTTTGCAAGAGCCTTGAGCTCGCACAACTCTTCTTCTTCTTGCATCCGGAGCAGCAAGGGCAGTGACACAGTAGCCGAGGCAGAGCCGGCTGCCAATTCTGAAGCTGTGAGGTTAGCGACTGTAGCATTTTTTGGCTCACATTTTGGATACCTCTCTCCATACAGGCAGCGAAGCCAGTCCCCTATGAACACTGGCAACATGCTAATGACGGACTGTGCCCCATTCTCTGTGTCGGCTACACGGACGTGCCTGAAACGGCCGGTCCAGGTGACTCTGTGACCTTGCAGGTGGCTACAGAAGAGCTGCGTCTGGGCCATTCCTTTAGTTTCCCAGGCAGGAGGCCCACACACCTGGCTGTACTGACTCCAAGTCATTGTTGAATTATACACCTTCTGTCCCTCTGCATGGTACACATAGATTGCAAACAACAGGATCACCATGGAGATGCCTAGTAAGATGAGTTTGACAGGGCCACGGTGGGTCAGTGAGCGGAAAACATCCAGAATAGACATGCTGAAACGTGTCCACAGACGCAGAGTTACAGGTATCGCACAAACCACCAGAGTCACAATCACCTTCGTCAGCTCCAGCTCGAGGAACCACTTGCAGATCTGGATGAAGAGCATGGCTGCAAGGCCAAACGCGAGAACAGGCAGGGCAAACAGGAAGAGAAAGTAGGCTACACAGGTGCGGATTAGACCCACAGCGGAAGAATTCTGGAGCAGAACCACTGAGAACTCACACCACATGAAGCACACAAGGTAAGGAACCAGGAAGCAGTAAGTCCCCCTGAAGCCACGCATCCTGGCCATGCTGAAGAAGAAGAGAACAAATATTTCAGGGAACAAACCAATTAAAAAACAATGCAGCCATAATGGATTTTAAATCCAATGATATAATCCAGTGACTACCAATCTTGGAACCAGCTATTGTCTAATGACAATAAATCCACTGGGAGCCTCCGTGTCGTATAATAGATTAAGGATTGTCAGGCCGATACTTCTTTTCAATGTGCAGGTCGTGGAGTTGAAATGGAAAGACTTCATATAAGGCAGATGCTATCTGTGTTCACATGCAAATGTCAATTTTGAAGAAATAAATAAGAGTTTGATCATTCTGCAACAATAGCTGATTGTTTTGGTTTGCATGGCAGATGAAGTCGCCTGTTCATAGACCCAAAGGCTGCTGAATCACATGACAGTACTTCCTGGACTACAAACTACTGAATCACATGACAGTACTTCCTGGACTACAAACTGCTGAATCACATGACAGTACTTCCTGGACTACAAACTGAACAAATCAGAATGGTTCGATATGAAAAAAGTCTTGTCCACCCCCTACAGATTCTGCTGATATCTTTTTTTAGGGATTACCATTTAACAAATTGACTCACCTGAAGAACAGGTAGAACAGGTAAACATACAGCAGGCATGGGAGACTGATCTTCAGCACCACCGACTCCCCTAGTGGCAGTGTGGCAAAAGTGTGGCCAAGGAGACGAATTGCCATTTTTTCTGGCAGAAACTGAGTCAGGCAACAAAGGGAGGAAGCAACCTGGATTTAAAAAAGAAAGGAGTATAGGAGTTCAATTTGAGAGAACATTCCATAGCAAAATGTAAACCCACCCATAGATGTTAATTTGAATCTATAAACTTGCTCATTGCTATGAAAGCTGTGATTTTGATCAATTAATGACATAATGCTAAACGAGTGTTGTGCTCTACCTGACCTCTATGACCATCGCTCTGCGTGCATACATCGCAGCAGTGGGACTGAGGCTGTTGTAGCTGACGGCAGTAAAGAAGATGGCCACGGTAGAAAGCTCAGAACAGGGGATCCAGCCCTTGTCAGCTACAGGGAAGGAGAATATGATGAAGAAAACCGAGAGGATAAAATAGAGGTATGGCTCAAGGTTGTTCCAGCCAAATTCGGTCTCTGCCTGCTCCACATCAGGCCGGGTTGAAAACGCGTCAGCAGAGATGTCAGGGCACTGAAGTTTTCCCAAGTCTGCGAAACGA